TTATACTCCACATTTTAACCAAATTGGGTATAGTTGTTGAGATTCCCAGACAGAGGACTTCCAGGCAAGTGAAGTGCTACTGTGCTTTTTTTAACTTGGATATTAAGACAAGGCCCAGTTTGCCACATTTGACCACATTTTGCAAAGGGTATTGACAAAACTTTACATCTAATTTTTGATAAAGAATTTTTAAAAAATTAAAACTTTTCTTAAAGATTCAGGCTTTAGGAATTTGAATTTTAAATCTTTGGAAATAGAAGAACTGGTTCCCACTCAGACAATGGTTTTTTGATCATTTTTAACTAAGCTATAGGCTGAATTTACAGGTGATGTGACTGTGAATAATTACTTAGATGTGCTCAGAATTTTGTCCCTGTGTCACTGCAGACAGTGGAATGCCTCTTGAAGGTATTTTATCAAACAAAAATCAGTGACCATAAATCTACTCTGATGGATACAAGTTGTATTTGGTGTTGAGGACACCGCCTGGACACATTATAATCAGGAATCTCAAATACATATTTTTTTCAGTCTTTAGAAAAATAAAGGGTAAAATAACATCTGCATTAATTTATTCTGGCTTTATAAATGTTGTCCTGGAAGAGTGCTTTTCAAAAATGTTTCACAAGGAACACTAGTGTCAAAAGCTCCTCCAGATACTGCTGCACATTGGAGTGGGACATTAGAAGTACATATTTGCATATTAACAGTTCTACACTCAGGAATGTTGAACCCTCATTCCTCAGACTTTTATGACTTTGCCACCTCTTTATCTTTTTTTCCCTAAAACTTACTTTTGGATTGTTATCTCAGGAGGCCTGTGACCATGTTAGCTCATTGCTTAGGAATATCTGGGCCACCTGATACTTTCTTTCTAGAGATCTTACCGACTAAATATAGATTAACAGTTCTAAGTCACATTGTTATCAATGTTTGTCTTTTTAAAAATATCGCATTTTTCATGTAGTCATGTAGAAAATAAGTGAAAGCTATAAAATATTTTTAATTGTACTTTATAGAATGTTGAGTGAAGAGAATTTAGGAATCAGGATGTAAAATTAAGCTCTGTTTAAGTGACCCATAAGAAAGAATAGGGTAAGCAGAAATGTAAAGGCTTGGGGTAATAAAGCTCAGGTAGACCAAGCTTTAGACTAGACTTGGTCCTTTTTTAGAGGAGACAGAAGAGATTTGTAAAAATTTTCAACAGTATTGATACTTTATATTTCTAGGAAATTATGGAATAAACCTATGAACTATTTAGGAAGGTTTTTTAGGGTTTCTAAAGGTACAATTTACTTTGTAAAAATTCTGACCTCTGTAATCAACAAAATCTTTTAGCAGCTGCTGAAGTTCTATAGAAAGCAGTGAATGTAGACACAAGCTTTGTTTATGTCATACTGTTTTGCAGACATGCCAAACTGTAGTGTTCAGAGGAAAACATGCTTTTCTTTGTAAAACTACTCTGAGTGTGGTAAACAATAATGGCTTCCAAAAATGTCCATGTCTTAACCCCTGGAACCCATGAATATGTACCTCACATGGCAAAAGAAATTTTGTGGTTGTGATTAAGTTAGGAATTTTGAGATGAAGAGGTTATTCTGGGTTATTCAGGTGACCCTAATGAAATCACAAGGGTCCTTATAATAGTGAGGTGGGAGATGAGAGTCAGGGTGAGAGGAGAAGGGGGACAGGAGCCCATGATGCCAGCAGCCTGCAGGAGCTGGAAGAGGCACAGTGCCTAGAGAGAGAGACTCCAGAGGAACACAGCCTTGTGCACCTGTTTGGGACTCTGACCACCGGAGCTGTGAGATATTGAGTGTGTGTTGTTTTAAGCCACTAAATTTGTGGTAATTTGTTTCAGCAGCAAAGAGATATTAATACACTATGGAAGTGATTCAGTCACTCATTGTCACAAAAGTGTCTGCCATGTGCCAGGCAGTGTTCCAGGCACCAGGGATCAGCAGGGAATAGGGCAGAACAGGGCCCAGTTCACCAAGACCTTACTACATTCTAGAAGGTGAGATAGAATATTAGTTCAGACAGTGCCGAATGCTGTGGTGAGAATAAAATTGTCAATAGAAAATGATTGGGCAAGGTGCTGCAAAGGGGCTCATTTTGATTGGGGGCAGGCATTGGTGTCAGCTGACCTATCTTCCTGAGGAGGTGACATTTAAGCTACTGCCGCAGTAATAAAGTGGAAGCAGCCATGCTGAGTTTTGGAAGGATACAAGCACTGGTATGCAGAGACTCACAAGGCAGAGCTCCTTAGGATGACAGCTCACCACCACTTAAGAGTCACAGAGCAGAAGGTGGCAGCTCAGATTCCCTGGTCCCCCACTGGCAGCAAGTCCTATCAAGGTTCTTTGCATGCATGTGGGAGAGGGGACATCCTTGGGTAGTGCCCAGTCATTGCCCATCCTCTGCTATTTCCTTGCAAAACTTGGTCAGAACTTCACAGGCTGCTCTGAGAGCAAGAGGAGCCTTGGCTCTCACATCTATGCGCCAATGCTGTGACAAAGTTAAGGATGTCTCTTCTGTCATCACATTCTAAGTAGCCTTTGTAATCTGAAGCACCTCGAGGAGCCAGCAACAGCACCAGCCCTTCTTGGTTGACCCCAGGCCTCTCTATATGTGCCTCGCAGAGAGGGAATTTCTGTTGCTGACTTCTTATGAAGAAGCAGTGACATCTCTATGCTTTCTATATGTTCTCTATGCTTTGGAATCAGTTGACATGGGTTTTGGAAAGTGTTTATTCTTGTCGCCTGGTTTTACCAGCTAGAAAGCAGCCCAGCAAAGGGACGTTGCTCAAACATGCTCTAAGCTTTCCAGCCCCTTTCAGTGTTGTTTGGAGTCAGAAAAAATGGACCTCAGAATGATAACTGCAGCAGGAATGCTGGACCTGGCTTTTGTCTTCTCTCTTCTTACATCTTTTTAAAAGTAAAACTGTACTTACCCTGTCCAGCTACTAACATTTTAAAATTAGTTATACATGAAACTGAGGGCATTTTCTGCTTTGTGAAATGTGTTTTTAATGGTCTTGATTCTTAATTAGGTCCTGATTTTTTGAGTCCCCAAGTATTCTGCCTTCTAGAATTAGAATGTATGTGACCATAGGGGCCCCCTTCCCAAGCCCGCTGGATCATGGGGGCACAGGAAACCCTGGGGAAGTTTGTGGAGGTTCCTGCAAAGACTGTGTCACATCGTAAATGTATGTGTAGAGGGATCTTTTGTTTTTTGTGTTTTTAATGAATAGAGTAAGGTAGTTACACTTAGTAATACCCATTCACCAAAAGGAAAAGGGGAGGGTGTTAAATCATTGTGTTTTTTTTTTTTTTTTTTTTTGATGAATGGCTTGTACACTGAAAAATAAATTGGACAAACTGGCATAGAGCTCAGTGAACATGAAATCAGCTATTAGAAGAAAGCTTGTGAACAAATTCTGAGGCAGATATGCATCTTTTGATTAACGCCCTATCAATCATCCACACAGCTACCTTCTCTAAGTCTCGCTGTAATCATTCATGGTTGCTTTTGGAAACACTAGCAGAAACTATAGTGCTGCAGAAACAGAATAGTATACTGATTTCTCCCTAACTTAATGTGAACAATGACTGTTTTCAACATGTCTCTGCTTTCTTTTATTAAGGAAATACAATACAGAATGAAAGGGGAGTTCCTCCAAGCCTGATGAAATTCTCCTGGGGTATTCTTAATGATATTCAGTCTTAAATGGGCAGACTATTGTAATGTGAGGTTCTCTGTAGGAATAATAGTAATGTAATCCATTGAAGTCGCCTTTTACGGATTGTAGTCAAATAGGCAAAATTTGGAGTACATTAGAAAAGAGCATATCTTCAGAATTATTACTTAAAGTTGTTGAAATTGTTTGAATTTTGTTACTATAATTATTATATTCTCAGTTAAAGTGCTTAACAGCAATAGTAATTAACCCACCAGATTGTAAATTTGCATGAATTCTGCCTTTGACATTAGAAAAAGTCCTGATTCTGTGTATTGCACAGCAGGATGGAGGAAATACATATATATTTTTTCAGATTATTTTTAAGAAAGAAATTTTCATAAATGCATTAATAGTTTTCCATGCATTTTTAAGCCATTGGTAGATTCCTCAAGGGCACTGCATTCTTTTAAGAGGATTTGATTCCTGAACTTTGCTAGCACAAAGGATAATTTGGAACTGCCTACTAGTTGAGATATCTTTAGGTGATAATGCAGTTTCTGAACTTACTGTAGCCTGGGAAATCCTGTGGCATAATGAAGTAGTGACAGTCATTAGCATGTATAATGGTCTTTAATAGACATTTAAGGCTCTTTAACTGGAAGAGGAAGCTGTACTCTCCCATTGGAATATTCCTCCATCAAAGCCCATTGATCACCGATTTCACCCAGGAGAGGTTAATCCATCAGCTTCTGTAACCAGACGGTACTGATGGAAATTCTTTAGGTGGCATTCTGGATGAACCAGGCTTTCCATCTTTACAAACAAATGAGTGATATGACAAGCATGGTGTTCAAAACACATTTAACCAATTGATTTTCTTTCCTCTTGTAATAAGATCTGGAGACATATGAAAGTGCACAGTGTAAGCCAAGATTAAAGGAATTGCTCCATGCACAGGAACATATGGGATTGAAAGCCAATAAAAGTACTATAAAGCTTGTAGTCACCCATTTTCTTTTTTTATATATAAAGTTTGTTATTGCAATAAATAGCTGTTACTGAGCCAATGCCTTTTGTTTCATTTTGCTGAATCTTATTTTAGGTCTGCGTATGTGTGTACATGTGTGTTTAGTCATTTTTTTCTTGGAAGTTCTCAAGATGTTTGTCAATTATTGTTTTTACCTTCTAATTTAAACAGACAGACCTGATATGATTTAGGCCGGTAAAACTAGGTATAAAGGTTCAAACACAGGGTGTTGCACTACTGTCTGTGTTCCATGTAAATGATGGGTTCCTGCTCTTTATTTCCCCCATGCAGCCCTGCCTTGAGTTTCACCTACCCTTCTGCACCTGTGTCTCTCCATGTGCATCAACAAATCTTAAGCAGACAGCAGAGCTTAGGCTCGGCCTTTGGACACAGCCCTCCTCTCATCCATCCTGCCCCAACATTTCCAACACAGAGGCCTATTCCGGGGATCCCTACAGTTCTGAACCCTGTCCAGGTCAGCTCTGGCCCTTCTGAGTCCTCACAGGTGAGAGAGACAGCTCAATAAACTGGTCAGTCTTGGTGATCGTACAGAAGAGCCATGCTACTGTGCCAGCTCTTCATTGGCACAGTTCCCTGGCATTCTCAGGACTTTGTTTTCCCTTTTTTTGTTTTTTTTTGTTTTATTTTGTTTCATCCAAGTGATGCTTATTGAACATTTACTTTGTAAAATTTTGCAATAATACTAATAATATAAAAAGGACAAATATATTCCCAAGAGTCATTGGTAATAACTAAGTTACTTGCTAGAGGTAGGACTATCCTTTGGCAAAATTGGGGTGAAGTGGGATGGCTTTCAGTGCTCTTTGTTTCCTTTTTTTTCTGGGCATATTTCTCTTTCAGTTCCTTCCTTCTCAGCTCTCTTCTGCTTTCTCAGACCTTATCTTTCCTAGAGGAATGTGAGAGGAAAGACTAATCCACCCTATGACAATGTTTCTCAGCTCTTACTCATGTGAATACCATGAAGGTGGGCAGGGTGGGAAGAGTGCTCCCAGAGAATCTGACATCATTCTTCCTGATGAGTGGCATCCTGAGTGGCATCTGGGCATTTATGGCTTTGATGCAGACATGGTTGAGAACCAAATGGTCTTCCAGCTTTCCCCCTCACATAATTTTGAAAAAATTGTTTCACTTTGCATATGTTAAAATTGACATCAAAAATGTTTTAACTTAAGTTTAAGCAGCTTCAAATCATGTTATTTTTCTACATATTACAAATCTTGATTATTTTAAAATAAGGCAAATAAATTTTTATGTGAGTCCAATGAACTGAACACTGTGGGATTTGTTACCTATCTACTATTATCCATTTGCAATTAGAAATTTTGCATTATTCTTTTTCTTCCTTGAACTCCTATATCTATTCTGTTTCACATAATATTTTTTTACCCCATTCTCCCGAGGAATCACATTGTTGCCATGTCCATGAGTCCTATTTCCATTTTGGTCTATCCCTCACCACACTGGCTAGCTGTCACCTGCTCTCCCCCGTGAGTCTACCCCACTCGCCTTGTCTCCGGACTTTCATGGTGTATGCAGCCTGTCTTCTGAACCCAGGGCTGTCATCTTCAGTTGATGAATATGCTATGTATGTGCTCCTCAATATACAGCAGCTTCTTCCACTAGAGTTATTTTATCCTTGGTAGAAAAGTGGGCTGCTTGAAAAGGCTTCATTCTGACCCAGTGCCGTCTATACATCTATTCAATAGGAATGCATTCATGAATGTGTTGCTCTTATTTGGTCACAGTCCACTGGTGCTTAGAATTGTGTGATACTTCAGAGTAAGAATAAAACTGGTTCCTATCTCCACACTGATCATGCTCAGAGAAGAACCTGGATGCTCTAATTAAAGAACTTTGCAAACAGTTCATGTTGGTTTCCTTCCTACCTCACAATTTTGTTCTTTTAAATACTCTGTTGGAACTTACTAAATCCCAGGCCCCCTGGTCTATTCTACTAGCTTTTAAAAGTAAAGGGAGTTTATACTCATGAGGTAAAAACAAGGAGTTGCCTCATGAATATATTTCCTGTTACCATTGTATTGGAACATTATCAGACTCATTGCTCTAGTGCCAAACAAACCTGCTTTTCTCATGTTGCATGATGTAGCAGTGGTCCTGCTCATTGATCAAAACCTAAGTTTGTCTCTATTTCCTCAACTGTGACTGACAGAACAAGCCCACAAGTGAGTCTGCAGTGAGCAGTACTGGTGACCTGATGCACAACAAACGATCCAAGATCAAACCTGATGAAGACCTCCCCAGCCCAGGGCCACGGGTTCAGCAGGTGAGGTGCCCGGGCTCTGCACATGACAAAAGACCAGTTAACAGAGTTTGACTCAGTTTGTTTTTCTAGCTCAGAAGTAAACACAAAAGAATTCAGGAAGTTGTGTGGAATATAAACTGTGGTTCATAGAATAAGAGGCTGGATTTATTTGTCCTGACTATCTATGTAACCAGGCTTCAGTACTTAGCCCCAATCATGAGCTTAAATTGTGAGCTCCTGGCTCTAAGCCTGAGCTGGGTAGAGCTAGTGATGTTTCCTGTACTAATAATGTTTTTATTTTTATTCTTATTTTGCCACTTCTTACTTTCCAGGAGAGCCTGGAGAACAGGGAGGGATCAAGGCACAACTAACCTATCCTGAGGCACTAATATTCCAGACCTTTACCCAAAGTCCTGAAAGGACAAGTTTAAAAATTCCATTTAGATTGTTTTAAGCCTCAGTTTAAAGATGTGTATATTATCATAATACCATCTCCTAGGGTCCCTGTGCCTGATACAGGAAAGAGGTCAGTGAATATTAATTTCCAGGAATAAGAGTTGAACAAGAGTTTGGACATTCACAGAATCTGCTTCAGCCCAAACCTCAGACAGCTTTAGCCCAAATGTCCATTTTAGTGAAAATGTTGAAGATGGAATGAATGAGTGTCACAGGTTCTGAAATTCATCCTTCCTTCTATATTTTGCTAGTCAACAACCTTGCTAGTTACACCTAAATGCTTGTATACAGTTTTTGTCATCTAGCCTTAGATTAGAGCTCAAATCTACACGTCTGTCTCCCAGAATTCTAGAAATCCATTGCATTTAAATTGCCACAAAGCTGGTTCAGAAGACTAGGAAAGACTGTACTCTCCCCTCCCAACCTCACCAAGCTTTAGATACCATTGTTCTTACGCAGAGTGTGTCATTGGACATGGTGGTGTTTAACCAAAAAGACAATATCCCTATAAAATCCACAAAGTGCCTCTTACAGACTCCAACAGCAAAGAAAACAGAATTAGAATTATTGGTAATTATTTCCCTAGATTCCAAAATATGAGAATAAAAACATTAATATACTGAAAGAATCTAACCAAAAGAGAAAGACCTTTTTTTTTTTTTTTTAAGTAAAGACGACATGACCTGGTTTAAGTGCTTCTCTTGTGGGATAACATTTTAGATTAGTTTTTTTTTTTTTTCCACTTTTGTATTCGAAGACAGCAGAGTTTGGCCTCAACTTCTTATCATTATGGTTTGGACTATTGTCTTTAATCATAAGTTAGTAGTCTCTGAAGATGTGTTTGATATATATGAAAAAACACACACAAGTGATTCCATATTCTTCCATTCACAAAACGCATTTGATAGACCTGGACTCTATATGATCTTCACTGAAAAATTGCATCAAGTGAAAAACATCTCTTCTTATCTTTCCTCCCATTGTGTCTTTTTTTTCCCTCTCTTCCCTCCCCTCATCCACTGTCTATCAGGAACAGCCAGAAGTAACCACCCTGGTGAAGGAGGAAGGGGACAAAGATGAAAGCAAGCAAGAGCCTGAAGTCATCTATGAGACAAACTGCCACTGGGAAGGCTGCACGCGGGAGTTTGACACCCAGGAGCAGCTGGTGCATGTAAGTGAAAGGGACTCGGGAACTGGGCTTTACAACTATGTGACATTTCTACGGGATCAGCTTCCCTTACCCTGTGCTGAGTCAAGTTTCGTAGCTCACAGCGTTACAAACTAGAGAGGCCTTTATGACTTTCTGAGAATAAAGAGAACTCTGAGCCACTGTGCTTGACCTGTTCAGTCAGCTAAAGCTTAGTGTAAAATTCAATAAAGTCTTCAATAGAGAGTGTAATGACTCTGATCCTGTAAGTCAGAGAACACTATTTTGAGTTAGTAGCTTTGATGGTTATTGAGTAATAATAGTAAACTGAACATGAATTATTATTAACCTTTTAACCAAGTTTGAGTCTCCTTTCCAAGAATAACAGCAGAAACTACTGTAATGGGAGATTCCTTTTTTTTTCTTCTACCTTCCTCTCCCAAAGCTTCAGGAATCTCCCTTTGTTTGATGCAGCAATTAGTACTCTGTGTGAGATAGGTAGATGCTTGGGGCAAACCATTAACACATTTTCTTGACTTGAAGCCAACTCTTACAGGGTTAATAACTTTTGGAAAAAAACAATATGTATTGTAAAAATGTTTAATGATGTCCATTTTTCAAAATTGCAGCATGGTCAGATTGAGAACCACACCTTTTTTGTCATACCAGGTTCAGAAGTCTTTTCCTTTACTTCCCTGTGTATTGTTTCAAGTAATATAGCACTCCCCATCCCATGTACTTATACCTGATTAGTCCTATGTCTTTTACCTGTGTTTCGTTTTATTTGGCATTTTCTCTCAGGCCAGTAAAGCCTCCATGGCAAATGGGACAAGCAACTGAAATGGAAGGGCATTTAGATGATTAAGAAAAAGAAAAAGGTAGCCCACACACTCTGGTACAGAAGGGCAGGGTCCTATTAAGGCATTAAGGATGGTTTGCAAAGTGTGGCAGTTTCATAAGCTTTTAATGTGATAGAAAATCTGAAAGAGCAGCTTTTGTTGTGACAACTCCCCATATGCATACTCATTCTCTTTTCTTTTCTAGTAACTTTTTATTTTTAGATTATCCATATTTCTTGATAACTCTTCTCCATTTAAACACTAAAATTATAAAATTCCTCATGCATCCCACATGTTTTATAGGCTGCATGAGCCTTTGAAGTGTGTCTGCTGAAACTTGGCTCATCCTGTATAATACATTTCACACATTGCAGTCACATTATACTGTTAAATATATGATTTGCTGGCTTTAAGATTTGTTACATACAGAATGTTTTGAGGATTTAACATTACCTCAGCAGGGTTTTCCTCTCCTGTTTCTTTTTTAATCGTGTCTCTTTGTAATGGGATAGAAAAAATTACAGATTTCTCAACACAGCAAGAAACTAGAAAATCAGATGGTTTTAATTAAGATATATTTCCAAATTTTTCCATGAACTTAATTTATTTTTTTTCCTCTATAATTTTTGCAAGTGTTATTTTTAAGCCAAGCCTGACTTAATGGCCCTTTTACTCTTGCTGGCTGTTTTAATGGAAACCACAGACATTGTCATACTAAAAGGGAGAAAAAGGTTTTGAAATTTTATTTTAATGTAGAGAAATATTCCCAAAGAGCAGAGAATGATACGAATACACTGAATACACTGAGTGTACAGTGAGTATACAACATAAGTGAGAATGTTGTTTGTGTAACAACTGCCATCATAACCGAGATGTTGGCAGTGCTTGTTGAAATGTCCTTCTGAGAAATGATGCAACCTCATTGCACCTTTCTGTGGATAAGTCGTCGTAGTTCCCAAGAAGTGTGGTGACTATGGTTCAGCCATTATCAAATGAGGAATTAAATAGGAGTTTACATTTAAATAAGTCTACATTTAAAGGGAATTGTGCTTTTCATTAGAGGCCAGATTTGAAGTAACATTTTTGGGTTGTGGCAATAAGTTAACCTTTTTGCCGCCTACTGAACATGAAAGCCTTTAAAAAACAGGGAATGTTGCAGTTTTTTATACTTAATCTTAGTGGCGAAAGGTTATAGGCAGGATGTTCTTTATTTTAATAGAGAGATTTCAGTAGTTTTAAGGTACGGTGTTTAAACCTTCAATGTTTTGATAGTTTTATCTGTTATCTGTTTTATTGTGATCATATGAATGGATACAGTGGATTTTTAAAAAATTCAAATAGCTGAAAGAAATTTATGTCAGAAATAGAAGGAAATATAATATATTACCTCTAGAATATTAATTTTACTCTGAGATAAATTATATTAGTAAATAAACTTAGTTAAGTAAATTAAAAATTGTAACTTACAACATAAAGATACTAGTTTATATCATTTATTTGCTATATTTTTACTTGTTATCTGAAGTGTGTTTGAAAATTCCAAATTTGTGCACTTAAACAGATTTTACTTTGCATGATTTACTTCATACTCATGGGTGTATCTGGTAGCATTTTCAGTGGCCTGATATAGAACAGATGCTTTATTTTTTGTTGATTGAATGAATAGGTACTTCAAGTCTACCTGATTTCCTTGGTGGTAGATGGAAATAACATCACTTGCAAAAACCACTATTTTTAGGGGCAGAAGGAAGCATTAACTGCTTTTGTTCTTACGACTTTCGTTGGAGAGAGGACATTGTGTGAATTAGTTGAATTTTCATGGTACATGCAACCAAGATGCAAGGTGTTAAACCATTTTGATGCTGTGCCTTATTTATAGCCATGACCCATTCTTTTTCCCCATCTTACAGTTAATAGAAAGATTCATGATTCTTCATGGTTGTCTATCTAGTGTCTGACAGTCCCGACTGCCTGCTAAAGCAAGTCACTATCTATAATTGATATCCTTCTGTGGAATAGGGTGCTGGCTGCAATTGAAGGGCTTTGCTGAAAGCTCTTAAATCCTGACAAGTTCTCCCCTTGTTCTGGTTCAGTCACTGAGCTACACAGTCGGAATTCCAGAGTCATTTGAGCTTGGTACCAAAGGGAGACATGTGTTTCGCATTAGCAAATCACAAAGTTGAAGAGGAGAATTAGGGAACTGGCTTACTCTGCCCACCAGGTAGTCTCATTTCCAGTGTAATGCACTCCATGTTCTCTTGAAAAGATTACCTTGTCCCATTACTGTCCCGACAGATGTGCTAAATATTGCCTTGCCCTTCTCTTTTCCTTTATTTTGAGGCCCTGTCCTTCCCCAACTTTGTTTATTCTAGGTTTTCTGTGGGGCCTTTATCTCAGGATATTAATTAATTTCTCTTCCCAGCCAGATAATTATAATTGGGCCTAGTTACTCTCTAGGTAGTATTAAATCTGTCATAAGTTTACTTCTATGCCCAGAAGCCAAGAATATAGATGTATATTTTTGTTAACCAGGTTTTTGTTGTACTTTGTCCCTTTCTTGGTGTCAGTTAAAATAGAAGGCAACAAGAGGGTAAGGATACATAGAACTAAAGTTAATTAATTTAAAGTGCCTTTTATTAAGACTGCATTTATTATTGATTTGTCAAGATGAAAGTGCTTTCTCTTCCCTTGACATCCGAAAACACATGTTCTAACATCTCAAAATAAGTTGGAAAATCCATATATTTTCTTCATTTCTAAATTAATTATACCCTCTTTTTTGTTGTGCATTATATAATACAAAAATCATGATTCTTAAATTTAAATTTGTAGAATATTGACTCTCAAAGTATTGTTTCTGTTTTTTGTTTAATTCAGCTTTGGTTATTAAGTAAAAACAACTCAAGTCTGTCTTCTGGCCTGGCTTCTCACACAGGTGTAAGGGCTTTTGAATCCTTTGTATGTCCCTCGTGTGTTAATTTTGTCCTAGAAGTCTGTTCCATCTTTGGCTTTTGGATGACCAAATGTCTGAAATTTGCACAGCACACAGCACACAGCACACATTAGTCTCAGGTTCTTGGAAACTGGCACGCTTTGTTTCTTAATGACACTGTGTATATACCACAGGTGTTTTGAGAGGCTTTTTAAAAAGAGGAAAGGGAATAAACATGAAGAAAGTGTACCTCATTGTGGGTCACCACTGCTGAGGGGCTAATTATACTTGAAAACATGACTGCAGGGATCTGAAAGAATAAAAATTGTATAATCACCATGCCTAATGGCCACCTGTTTGCTGCATCACTGCAGTTCATTACCCTCTATTTCAACAATTTAACCCTCTGTATTGGCTTAAGAAATAACACATAGAGTATTCTCTCCAAAGGGCCTTAAAAGATCAAATTATCTTTAAACAGTTTTATTCACTGCCCCATCTCTAGCAAAATGACCTTGGCAAGTGCACTGTGGAGGGCTGTTGTATCATGCTAGTGGGGCTGGATGGCAGAGAATGTGAGTTGTGGCATTTCAGTCTGTGAGCTCCTTCCTCAACTTGTATCTTTTAAGCATGATGTCAAAATTCACCATTTTGTACAGTGATTAACCACCTACTTGGATTTTAAATGCTTTAATATGCTCCAAATTTTGATCTCTAAACATGTGCTGAAGTTTCCTTTATTGAAAGAATACAATTATAATCACCTTTGTTGCCATTTGAAACAAATTCTATACATTGGCAGCATGAAAATGAAGGTCTTTCTTTTTAATATCATAGGGATTTAGATGTAAAGAAAACACATGTAATCTGTGAAGAATTGATGCATCTATAGAAACACGGGGAGGAGTTAGGCTGCGGTGAAGACATTATTTTCATATTAATACCATGATCCTAAATTTGCATTTTAAATGTTTTTCATCTAATTTTGATCTCTTTGCTGGAGTTGCATTGTATATCCTTACCTAAGAGAAAATTGAGTTTAAGATGTGATGGGGTCTTAGATATGAGTCCAAAATTAGTTTTATGTTCACATAAAATATAAAACAAATGAGTGGAGATTTTGATCTTATTTTTTCTACATGGAGTTACTAGTTAATTTAGTTACTGTAATTATTTGGAAATATTGCATGTAAAATGTAGACTAAGAAATACCAACTTCAAAGCCATCCTTTGACAATTGTGCCTCCAGGGTC